CTCTCTCTATCTCTCTCTCTTTCTCAGGCTGAATGGGATGTAGCATCCCAGCAGAAAGACTGAGCTTTTTGGTGAAATGAATGCTCCCACTCACAGAACTCGAACTCTGGCATCTTCTTGTTACAATGGCGAAGAGCCTGTACATTACAATTACCCCACGTTAGCAAATGGCTAACGCTTAACATCAAGCAAAGAATATCAAAAAGAGGAGGAAAAGAACGACCCTTGAAGTTTGAGTTTGACGCCCCTTTCAGCACACACTAATATGGTTATTTTTCCGACCAAATGTGTTAAGAACCTTGAAAAACGCATAAAGCATAAAACGACCCATGTTCATGAAGGCATAGTGGGAGATTTGAACCAAGACCATCTGCTCCGTAGTTAAGCATAATACTAAATGAACCAGCGGCGTGCCTCGGTTTGCCGCGTTGCAAATGACTAAAACCTTCAATCATGCAAAGAAAATCAAGAGCAACCCCTGGCAAGTCAACACCATTATTAAAAAGGCGTTTGTGGTGCAAGGATTAGGCTTCATTATCGCACGCAGGGGGCCTAGGTTCTATTCCCGAATAGGGAGATTTTTTTTAGCGAGTGTCACGGTCTTTCTGTGAGCATGCTGGGATGTTGCATCCTTCTCAGTCAGGGTTGGCACTGATAGGCAGGGTTGAAGTTCGCCTCCTAGATGATCTAAATAGTAAGAGCTTTAAAAAAAACCCTCATTATCTTTTAAAATCAGCTGAGGTCGGCCCTGGCCTGGCCTTCTTAAGGTCTATTTTGTGTTGATGAAGGTGTTAAAAGAACCAACAACTCAAAAAAGGTAATCAGTACTCACCATTTGAAAGTTTAGTGGGCGATGACTTGGGTCTGGACGTAGGGGTGGTGCTGGTCTTTGTGGCAGTTCTGGTAGTGGTGGTGGTGGTGGTCATCCGGGTGCTGGACTTTGTGGTGCTGCTCGCCGTGGTAGCGCTGGCAGGGCGGGACGTGCGAGGCGTGGTCGAGCTGGCGGGGCGGGGCGTTGTGGAGGAGGCGGGGCGGGGCGTGGTGGAGGAGGCGGGGCGTGGGGTGCTCGAAGAGGCGGAGCGAGGAGTGGCTGGCTTCTTCGCTGCGGGCTTCTCGTCTGGAGACTTCAACTTGGGCTCGCGTGGCTTCCTCGGCGTGATTGGCTGGGCGTAGGAGGGGAGTGGCTTGGAGGGGGCGGCTGACGAGGGGGCGGAGCTTGTTGGCTTGGTTGGGGAAGAGGCCGATTTGGCCGCGGCTGTTCTCGCCGAGGCGGGGCGGGAGGAGTCTGTGGGCTTCCTGGTCGTCGATTTGGTGGTGGTAGAGGTCACAGACTCTGTCTTCTTGGCACTGGCAGCCCGGCCGTTGGCCGTTTTCGTCTCCCGCGTCGTCTTTGTCGTGGTGGTGGTTGTGGTGCTCTTGGCGCCAGCCTTAGCGGTACTCTTCTTGGTGGTGGTAGTGGTCGACTTGGTTGACGCGGCCGCCGCTGTTGTTGCTGTTGCTGCTGTTGTA